CATGACTCCATCTCAAAAAAAAAAAAATTAGCCAGGCATGGCATGCACCTGTGGTCCCAGCTACTTGTAAGGCTGAGCCCAGGAGGTCACAGCTGAAGCTGAGGCAGGAGAATTGCTTGAACCCAGGAGGCAGAGGTTACGATAAGCCAAGATTGCACCATTGCACTTCAGCCTGGGTGACAAAGCAAGAAACCATCTCAAAAAAAAAAAAAAAAAGAAAAAAATTCCTATGGGTATCTTCTGATACAGATGTGCAAGTGTTCCTCGAGGTATAGTCCCAGGAATAGAATTTCTCTGTTGTAGGCTGTGCACCTGATAACTTTACTAGATCATTTAAAACTGTTTCCAAAGTAGTTGTGGGTTTACTATTTTTTAGAATGATGCCACCAGAGATGACTTGGGGCAAAAGTTGAATGCCAGCCCCAGGGCCAACCTCATGAGCTTATTTTCAGCAAGGGGGAGAAGTCAGATGGCAAAAGAGTGTGCATCTGTGCATCGCTGCTTCCCCAGCCAGGCCCATAAACCACATGTTCAATAGACCTTTATAGGCAAGCTACTAAGACCCATGCGCTGGGCGACGGGCCGGGGAGACAGTGATGATTTAGCGCAGACCAGCCTCAGAGAGCAACAATTATGTTTCCATTTACCCTGCCAGGCAGCCGGATGCTCCAGTTTTGCCCTGGAAGACATGAAAGAATAAGGCCAGATAGGTAAGTGGGAATTTTCTTGAAGTAAAAAAGGTATTTTGGGCCCTAGGATATCTCAGCACAGGCAGAACCTCCATTCCTCAAAGGTGGCCGGTGGATCAGCGTCGGAAGTACAGAGGGCTGCCCTTGCTGGTAGGAGAAGGAAGGAAGGAAGGAAGCAAGAAGAGAATACTAGGGCTATGCTCGGGCTGGCAGAGATACACACAGCTCCAGATCCAGATCCATTCAGATGCAGCTTGTGCCTTGTGCCCGTCCAGGAGCAAACATGGGTGAGCACACATATGGACACGCATACCTCCGCATACACTTTCAGTGAGGCCGTCAGACACACTGCAGGAGCAGAGGCAAGGAGCGTGAACACGCAGCTGCTCGTGGGAGATAAGCCCAGCACTGGGGGTTGCCCGCCTGGCCTGCCTTGAGAGTCCCCTTGCACATCTGCCTGGGTTCCCAAGAGGCAACCTCTACAAAGATACATGTTTTCAGGACAACCTTCCCTCTCCCATAAATTCTTTTTCTATTTACAGGAATGGCGTAGCAAAATCTTAGTTCATATTTGAGTCCTGTCTGATGCTGCCAGGCTGGCCAGGGCTGGGCATACAGTAGGTCTCTTTACTTGTTGAAGTAAAATAGTTAAATGAAATTTACTATAAGATAAATTAAGATAATTTGACTATAGGATAAATGAAGATTTAAAATAGGGGGAAAGAGGAACCTGAAATGCAAAAAGGCTAGTGAAGGGAGACTTGATGTTCTTCATAAGTGACCTCCATTATGCCCAGCCCCTCCTTTCTTTCTAGTGGCTCAGAGTGGAAGGGTGGGGGTCAGACCAGTGCAAGGTTGCTAATTAAGACTGACAGACAGGTTGACGCCTGAAATCCCGGCAGTTTGGGAGGCTAAGGCAGGGAGATCACCTGAGGTCAGGAGTTCGAGACCAGCTGGCTAACATGGCAAAACCCTATCTTTACTAAAAATACAAAAATGGGCTGGGCATGGTGGCATGCGCCTGTAATGCCAGCTACTCGGGAGGCTGAGGCAGGAGAATCGCTTGAACCTGGGAGATGGAGGTTGCAGTGAGCCAAGATTGGGCCTCTGGACTCCAGCCTGGATGACAGAGTGAGACTCCATCTCAAACAAACAAAAAAAGACGGGGCTGTTTGTGGATTTGATATGACTGCTGCTGTTTGAGAGAGCTGGGATCTGCTCTTCCTTCCTGAGACTGCTCCCAAGGCCCAAGCTGGCAGCAGTTCAGAATCACCACCTATATATTGATATCCAACCAATCCTAGCTCCTCTTGTACCTCTTCCCAGCCCCTTCCTCCCAGGTACCCCTGGGCAGAGTATACCCTCCACTCCTTTGAGGATGGAGAAGCGGGTGGTTGCGAAGCAAGCTGGCCTTTAGGACCTCCATCTGCCCTGATACCCTCCCTTCCTCGGAGGCTGCCTGGCTCCTGAGTGAAGGAACAAGTGGGGGCCCTCTGTAGCCTTCTCCTTCCATGGCCAGGCTGCCTAGCTGCTGGGAATCCAGCCACACTCACCCTGGTGCCCCATTCACTGGTGTCAGAGACCTTTGTGCTGCAATTTTTCCGTCCTCCCACCTGATCACCCACAACTCCACAGGGGCTTCAGCCTCATGTTTGGGACTCCTGAGACTGGAGAGAGGCCATGGGGGTGGGGCAAGAGCCCTGGGAGTGCCCCCAAGTGTGGAGCCTGTTGCCAATAGGGGCAACAAGACAATCTTTCTATAGGATTGACTGTGAGGCCTCTCCAAAGAAGGAGTGGGTAGAGAAATGCAGGCTCCTCAGCCCTGCCTGGGACGTCTGCAGCTGCCTCAGAGCTCTCACTGTGTGGATCCCAACAGCACTGCCCTCACTAATGAGGGCATTCTCCTCTTCCCCAAGGCTGGAAACCCCTGTGGCCATTCCTGTGGGCTCAGCCTTCTTACACCACAAGCTCCTC